TCCTTTCGGGTAGCCATTGATACAACCTACGAAACCCTAACCCCTAACCTGGGTACGACCTAGGTGGACTAGAGGCAGGTTATTATCTTTGTAAGAGGGGAGTTAGCAGCAAGGTGTCCCGCGGTTCGAGTGAACATGAGAAACGCCCTCAGAAAAGGCTACGAACACTAGGGAAGGTACGAGGTGACTCGATACGTTGTCGAAGCTACTCGGAGGCTGTGGGTGGTTAGCAGAGACGATCGAAGCTCGGCAGAGCTCTTCGATGTATCGTAGAGGGAAGGGACACGATTTGATAGGGAGGACTTAGCTAGGGTGCGGTTTGCAGTTTCTTCAACAATAGTCGAAGTCGAAGGGTTCGTCGAGATGGTATTGACGAGTAAACACAGTGGATGAGGTTTTGAGGTTATGCAGTGAGGGACGAAGTGACACAGTTGAAGGCTTAGACGCAGGGTGAACTCGACTTATGAGCTCTGAACTTGAGGGGGGATCCGGATCTTGTCTTTTTGGAGAGAAGTACAACAGAATTTATACTACGCATAGGACGCTACAACTATCGAGAGTGGTACACTAGTACAAGGGGCTTTGCATTGTTCCGCACGAATCTGCCTCCCCGAGTGGCATGCATCAAGTCCATCGGTAGAGTGACTGTCACGAGTTGGTATGGTGTCTAGCCATTTTTTAATTTTTCCTTTTTGCGGGCTCGAACCTGCGACCTCTGTACTATCTGCCTGATATGGACACGTCATTATCTACTGTACGATAAGATTAGATAGGACAGCAGTGCACAGCACAGCTCGGGCTCCGCTGACATAGCCGCTCTGACTCACCGGCCCCCGGGGCCGCGTCGGCATGCTGTGCACGGACCAGCTGCGCACGGACCAGCGCACACAGCCTGCCCTTAATCTCCCCTGTATATAAGCCGGCCTCTGCTGCCCTAGGGACCTCAGTTTCAACCTCTTGTCCCTAGGTCAGTAAGCCCCTGTACTTACTTACCTTTCAAATACTAACTTACTTGTCCCTAGCCTTAGGTTTGAGCCTTGCTCACCATCACTTCGGTGAGAACCAGTCGAACGCCCCTCGCTTTTAGATATTCCCCTGTCGCTTGACCTCAAGTCGCGACATTAGGTCGAAACTCCCATAGCGACCGGTGTTCTCTTGGAACCCCCACACTCACTTTTCTTTTCCCATAGGGCGGGTGGTGCGCACCCATACGATACATTACGATACGTAGATAGCGTACATACATCGCCAACACTAAGGGAACGAACTCTTCAGTACCTGCACTTCAGTGGGCGGTACTTGTCCTCACGGACGCGTGGATTAGGTTCCTGCTGCATAATAGTCAAAAGCAGTACTGGGCCCCACGTGAACTGCGAACCCTAGTGTCTTCTCGGGCGCCGTAGCGTAAGCTAGTATAGCATGGCCATTGTAGTACGCGCACCTCCCCGTCCTTCCCCCATCCATCGTGGCTGCCTGCCAAGGCCAGATCCACGCATTCGACTCTCAGGATCTCATTGACGTCTACATCCCAGACAGCCCTGAGACTGTCCTCTACCGTTGCGAGCAGCAGCCATGCCCAAATCGGACACCCCGATCAATCGAGGAGGATTACCCTTGTTACAAGGCAATCAGACGGGCTCAACACCCCCTTGGCCCCCGCAGCACCCTCGCATCTCAATCCGCCTCGTGGCATTGTCGCCCTGTCTCCCCCAGCTCCCGACTTCCTCAAACTGTCGTCGCCGATCCAAGTCAAGCGTGAGGAGATCTCCCTCCAGACCCTGCGCCAGAGCCTGAGCCTGAGGAGAGTGCGAGTAAAGAAGGAGTTTCGGAGTCCGAGTCTGCGGATCCTGCTCGGCCCGCCTCGCCGACAGCGCTCGCCTCCGCGTCAGCAGTCCCTGATGTACGTAACCCCCCCACCGGACTTCCTTTGGCGCCTTCACTGCCGACTTCGCCGAGAGGCCGCTCGAGCACTCGCTCCTCTCGAAGTTCGACCAGCGGAAGGCCACCACAGCCGCCTCCACCCCCGCAACGTCCTCCGTCCCCCCCAATGCTGATAATGTCGTCCCCCTCGACCGCCCCCGACAAGGAGACCCTGAAGCTCCTTCTCCCCCTCCGCTATGATGGCAAAACCGTCATCGAATGCGACAGGTTCCTGTCGCAACTACGTATCTATTGGCTGATCAACACGTCGTTGACCACCATTGAGCTCCAAGTGCAGGTCGCGTTGAGCCTGCTCGATGGCGATGCCCATGCCTGGGCCACTCCCTATTTCGCCCAGCTCGTATCAGTGCAGATGGGAGTACAAGGGGTCACGACCCCCTTCAGGAACGAAGCGGCCTTCACCGCTGCCTTTAAGGCCCGCTTCGGAAATCTCGACGATGCAGCAGCACAAGTAGAGCTGGCGAAGCTCTGTGCGGACAAATCGGTCTGTGAAAAATGCACCACGGCGGAGTTCTCCGCACTGTTCAAGGGTCCGGCGGATCGCTCTGGGTATGGGGACCTGGAGCTACGCGACAAGTACCTGAGCGGTATTCCTTCCCGCGTGTACCGGAAGATTGAGCTCGAGACCTTCACCACGTGGCAAGCAGCTGAGAAGCGCGCCACCGAGGTCGAGCAGATCCTCGATATCAGCTGGTGATAGGCGCCAAGCCCCTCTAGTCCCCGATTCACCTCTTTTCGGCAGTCACATCCCGCCCGGCACTTCGACTCAGTCTCCCAACACTTCGATTTCGCATTCGACGCTCTTCGACACCTTCGACGGTGCGCGACGCTTACTCGAAGCTCGGCACGGTCGTCCCGATGCCTCGCGCGTAGATCTCGGGACATCTTCCGCATTCGGCGAACAATAGGGCCACTTGATGCCGCTCGGCCAAGCACGCGCTTCGCTCCAAGCCACACCGACGTAGCCGGTCTTTCCCGATTAGGTATCGAACCTCGCGGCATGCCTTCAACGACGGATACCGGTCCGAAGTGGCCATATGTTGCTCTTCATCTCCGCGTTCGGCATGATGTCACTCTACCGATGGACTTGGTGTGTGCCCCTCGGTGAGGCAGCTTCTTGAGGAACAATGCAAAACCCCTTGTACCAGTGTGCCACTTTCGATAGTCGTAGCGTCCTGTGTAGTATAAAATCTGTTGTACTTCTCTCTAAAAAGACAAGATCCGTTTCCCCCCTCGAGTTCAGAGCTCATAAGTCGAGTTCGCCCTGCATCTAAGCCCAAAAACCGCGTCACTTCGTCCCTCACTGTGTAACCTCGAAACCTCGTCCACTGCGTTTACTCGTCGATACCGTCTCAACGAACCCTTCAACTTCGACTATTGTCGAAGAAACTACGAACCGTGTCCTAGCTAAGTCCACCCTATCAAGTCGTGTCCCTTCCTTCTACGATACATTGAAGAGCTCTGCCGAGCTTCGATCGTCGCTAACTTTCCACAGCCTCCGAGTAGCTTCGACGACGTGTCGAAGCCCCCTCGTACCTTCCCCGTTATTCGTAACCTTTGCCAAGGGCGTTTCTCGTGTTCACTCGAACCGCGGGACACCTTGCTGCTAACTCCCCTCTCCCCAAACTATAATCTGTCTCTCTAGTCCCTTTAGGTCGCACCCAGGTTAGGGGTTAGGGTTTCGTAAGTCGTATCATTTCTGGAGCCCACCGCGAGGGGATCTCAGGCAAGAATTCGCCGCTTTCGGGTTTCCGAAAACGTCTCCAGTAGTCACCCGCTCGCAAGCGCGTGAGGCTGCTAGCCGCAGCGCCGCCGAGAACCTCGACAGCTCCTCTCGAACACCCTCGACTCCCTCTCCAACAATTCCCGGTGACTTCGACCACGACGAAGAAGACGAGATAGATCAAGAACTCCAGAACGACTTCGACGAAGAACCGATCCCTTCGACCGCCGAAGAACGCACTTCGTCCCCCGAGCTTCTAGGCCTCACTACTTCCGACTACGACACTTCGACTCCTGAACTTTTCGAACGATCCGGTTCTTCGCCCGAACCCGAGGATCCCATCCCATCTACTTCGAATCTCGTACTTCCGACTCTGTCTTCTGTTCGCGCCCACGCTCAGCTGCCCATCGCATCCTCTTTGCGACTTTCAGTCATACCTACATCCGACCTGGCACCTCCGCCACCTTTAGCACCTTCGAATGCAGCTTCGAACTCCAACTCCGCACCGCCCGCACCTACGATTCCTTCAACTACTACTGCGTCCTCTTTGAGCCCAGCTCCTACTAACACCACGAACATGAGTCAGAACACGAACACACCATTGATGCCCCCGCGCGGTCATTCGACGGCACCAAGCTTCGACCCGTTGGAAGTCCGTTCGCTTCGGCGTTACTTCCAGGACCTCGAAGCGTTGTTCACCCGGTGTCAGATTACCGACGAAGCAGCCAAGAAACAGTGGGCCGTTCGGTACCCTTCGATCGACGTCGCTGACTTGTGGGAAACCATCGAGTCCTTCATCGACGTAGCCAAGAGCTACAATGACTGGAAAGCCGACGTACGAGCACTCTATCCCGGCGCCGACGATACAAGAAAGTGGTCGCTGGCGGACATGGATCAGCTCATCGGAGAACGCGCTCGTATCGGGATTCACAACGCGGCAGACCTAGGCTGCTATTACCGCGACTTCATGGCCATTACGAAACATCTCATCACACAGCACCGGCTCTCCACTATCGAGCAAAGTCGCGCATTTCTTCGAGGATTCCAGCCAGCATTGCTCACACGGCTCGAGACCCGACTGCATCTCAAGCATCCCGATCACTATGCCAACGACCCATACACCATGGCAGAGATTCACGCGGCGGCTACGTTCATCTTACACGGTACATCGAGCACACCTACGACAGCGGCTAACCAAGCTACCGCTTCGACGTCGAACACTTCGACAACGGTGCCCCCCGGGATGATCAAAACCGAAGACATCTCGATGATCATCGAAAGCCTGTCGAGAACGATCGCAACACTCATTCAGCCGACGACACACGCTACGCACAACCACGCCCCTGCACCGAGACAACAAGCTGCCGTCCACATCCACGAGAACAGCGGAGTTGAACAGACGTGCCACTACTGCAGCAATCGTGGCTGCAGGGTAGGCACCTGCGAGTTTGCGGAGATCGACATCCGGGACGGCAAGTGCAAGCGTAACACCGAAGGCAAGATCGTCCTTCCAAACAGAAGCTTCTGCCCCCGCACTATCCCTGGTCTCATGATACGGGATCGAATCTACGAGTGGCATAGAAGAAATCCCGCAGCACCCGCCGCTCCGACGATGCTCTTCGAGATCGACGATCGCTCGACTATGCAAACCTTCACACTCAACACCAGCAGCAGGATCGAGGCGCTTGAGCGAGAACTCCTTCAGCTTCGGAAGCGCAGGGAGGTCTTCGACGGCGTCGAGATTCTACAGCGGAAGAAGCCCACGACGCCAGTCATCATGAGAAGCGCGGAAGCCTCTGGCTCTGGTACATCGAAAGGAGTGGTGGCACCCTCGAGCACTTCGACAAGCACGGCTCCGCCTCCAACGATACCAGCAGCATTGCCCGCGCCGCCTTCGCCACCTGCGCAATCCACATCTCAACCTATCGCTACATCTGCTCCCCCAGCACCACCAGTACACCCCTTCGCAAATGCTCGCGACGCAACCTACGCCCCACTGAACGTTCAAAACTTCGCAACTCCGCCGAAGCCCTCGAATGACAAGGGCAAGGAACCTGCGTACAAGACCATCATCCCCGTTATCCAGCCGAAGCTCGCTGAGGAAATCTTCCAGCGTTCGATGAAGTCGCCGTTCGTCACGCTGACCCCAGAAGAGTTGCTGTCAATTGCGCCCGACGTTCGAAACAAGTACCGCGACGCCGTCACCCCTAAGCGAGTCTCGACGGAACCCGTCGCGTCAGCCCACATCGTAGAAATCGGCGCCGACGAGGTCACGGCCGTCAACCAGCTCACGTGTTCAGGTGCAACGTTGGAACCCGGTGCTACAATCGTCCCCGACCCATATGAAACCTATCTGAAGCACATCCCGCACGGCGAGCACCCCGCAGAATTCACCGTCGCCCGCGATTCGAATGCGATTCGTTCGATCATCGCGTTGGTTGACAACAAAGAGCAGATCGAATGCATCGTCGACCCCGGTTCGCAGATCGTCGCCATGTCGGAAGAGGTCTGTCTGGGCCTCAACCTCCTCTTCGATCCTACTATCCAGCTGAACATGCAATCGGCGAACGGAGAAGTGGACTGATCGTTAGGACTCATTCGAAACGTTCCCTTCCGCATCGGTGAGATCGTGTTGTACCTCCAGGCTCATGTCATTCGAAACGCAGCATACGACATCCTCCTCGGCCGACCCTTCGATGTGCTCACGCAGAGCATCGTCAAGAACTTTGCCAACGAAAACCAGACCATTACGATCCTCTGTCCGAACACCGGCAAAACCGTCACGATTCCGACGTACACGCGAGGAAGATCGCGAAACCGGCAGCATCCTGTCGGGTGTCGCAAATCACATTTTCTAGCTTCGAGGAATTGATTCCCCATGATCAAGGAGAAGCCGCGCTAGTCATCGACTACGATGGGGTAAACCCGAGTATTTCCTTCGTCTCTCCGATTGATTCCTCGACTCCGAACGCTGTTTCATCACTGTACCTCTCCGCATGCACCTCCGTTTCTTCATATTTGCAGTCTCTTTACACTTCGGACACTACTGCTGCTAATGCCGCCCCGTCGAACGCTTCGACGTGGACGTCGACTCTTCTATTTTCAGCTCCGTTGGCTTCGACTCCCCCAGCTCCCCCTCCGACGAAGTCCATCTCGCAGCTTTCCAACTCGATTCTTCCCTTTCCTTCGACGACATCGACTTCTACCCCTTCAACGCACAAGATACTCGCCGCGACGAAGAAGAAGTACAAGCCTGTCGCTCTCAAAACTCGACCCGTCCTTGGTGCCGTCCCCGAACAATTTCGAATACTTCGAGACATCAAGGGCGACCCTCTCTCCATCATGCCTAAGCTTTCGACCGACCCCCCGCTGTTCAAACCTACCGGTCGGTACACCCTCGAACGCTTCGAAGCAACCGAGAAGCTTCACGATGGCGACTTCCTACTCCCCGAAGAACGTCGAGTCCTCCACCACTTTATGTGCCTGCACAATGAAGCCTTCGCATGGACCGATGACGAGCGCGGATGCTTCAAGCCCGAGTACTTCCCCCCCATCGATTTCCCCGTTGTTCCTCACACGCCCTGGGTGCAGAAGAATATCCCCATTCCGCCCGGGATCTACAACAAAGTCTGCGCGGTGATCAAGCGAAAGATCGCCGCCGGAGTATACGAGCCATCGAACTCGTCGTATCGATCGCGGTGGTTCTGTGTCATCAAGAAGGACGGTAAATCTCTTCGACTCGTCCATTCCCTCGAGCCCCTCAATGCAGTTACGATCCAACATTCCGGTGTACCGCCGACGCCCGAATACCTCGCAGAACAATTCGGAGGAAGACCATGCGGCGGCATGCTCGACCTCTACATCGGCTACGACGAACGACTCATCGCCGAATCTTCGAGAGATCTAACGACGTTCCAGACACCCTACGGAGCCATGCGCCTGGTCACACTCCCGATGGGTTGGACGAACTCGGTCCTGATATTCCACGACGACGTCACCTACATCCTCCAGCCCGAGATCCCGCACGTTACGGTGCCCTACGTCGACGATGTTCCCGTCAAAGGTCCCGAATCTGACTACGATGACGCACGACTCCCTTCGAACCGCGACATTCGACGCTTCGTATGGGAGCATTTTGAGAACATGAACCACGTGGTCACTCAAATGCGCTACACCAGAGGTACCTTTTCAGGAGTCAAAAGTGTCCTCATCGCTCGAGAAATCATGGTGGTAGGACATCGCTGCACTCCTCAAGGACACCTCCCTGACGACTCTCGCGTCGCTTCGATACGCAACTGGGGTCCCTGCACTACTCTATCCGATGTTCGAGCGTTCCTCGGAACCATCGGCGTCATTCGTATCTTCATCCATAATTTCGCTCACCGCGCCGACGCGCTCATACGCCTCACGAGGAAGGATGTCGAGTTCGAGTTCGGTCCAGAGCAAATCGCAGCGCAGGAAGACCTCAAGGACGCGCTACTCTCATCCCCCGCACTCCGAGCCATCAATTATGAGTCCCCCTCTCCCGTCATTCTCGCAGTCGACACGTCGTTCATCGCCGTCGGATATCACCTCTGTCAGTGCGATGAAGCCAACACGCGAATCCGTTACTACAGCAGGTTCGGCTCGATCACACTCAACGATCGCGAATGAAGGTTTTCGCAGCCGAAGCTCGAGATCTACGGCCTGTTTCGTGCACTATGATCCCTTCGACTCTACCTGATCGGCGTTCGGAACCTCATCGTCGAAGTCGATGCTCGGTACATCAAGGGTATGCTGAAGAATCCGGACATCGCCCCTGTCACGACTTGGTACGGCGTCTAGCCGTTTTTTAATTTTTTCCTTTTCGCGGGCTCGAACCCGCGACCTCTGTACTACCTGCCTGATATGGACGCGTCACTATCTACTGTACGATTAGATTAGATGGGGCGGCAGCGCACGGCACAGCTCGGGCCCCGCTGACACAGCCGCTCTGACTCACCGGCCCCCGTGGCCGCGTCGGCATGCTGCGCACAGACCAGCTGCGCACGGACCAACGTGCACAGCCTGCCCTAATCTCCCCATGTATATAAGCCGGCCTCTGCTGCCCTAGGGACCTCAGTTTCGACCTCTTGTCCCTAGGTCAGTAAGCTCCTGTATTCTCTCATTTACCTTACACTAACTAATACATTTTCTTGTCCCTAGCCTTAGGTTTGAGCGCTG